ATTTTTATTTTTTTTGTTGCTCGCCCCCCACCCCCTGGCCCAATCAGGCCAAGGACTGAACTCAGGGCCTTGCATGTGCTAGGCAAGCACTCTGACACTGAGCTAAATCCCCAACCCCAACCCTTTTTATTTTGAGACAAGGTCTTGCTAAGTTGCTGAGGCTGGCTTCAAATATATGGTCCTCTGCCTCATTCTCCTGAGTAGCAGAGATGACAGGTGTGCCCCATTGTGCCTGGTGTCATTTGGCAGAGCTTTCTAAGCTCCAAATTAGAAATAGCTTTGTTCATACTTGTTAGGCAAAAAAAAAGTTTTCAAAAGTATTGTTTATAATAACAAGACAAGCAATGCAATTACAAGCAGGAAAAATAGACATTTTCCAAAAGAAAATACATGACTAACCAGTAAGCTCATGAAAAAATATTCATTATCATTCGTCATGTGGAAAATGCAAATAAAAACCATGATGAGATACCCTTACACACGCACTGCAAGGGCTTAAATAAAATAGACTATTACAAGCACCAAGTTTTGGTGAGGACTTGGGACAAACAGAACTCTTATAGTCTTCTGATGGGAAAATGATTATTAGTACAGTCACTTTGGAAACTTCTTGGCCATTTTGTATAAAGTTAGATATGCATTTGGGTACAGCACCCTTGGCCAATAGAAATGAAACTATGTGCACACACAAAGGCTTGAACACAAATGATCATGGCAGCTTTATTTGTAATGGTCAAAAGACTGCAAAGAATTCAAATGACCATCTGCAGTGAGTAGGGAATTAGATTGTGGTATATTCATGTAAAGCTATGTCCAAGTCCTAGCACCTGGTACCTGTGAATGCAACCTTATTTGGAAATAGGGTCTTTTCAGATGTAATGAAGTTAAAAATATCAAGATGACATCATACTGGGTTTAGGATGGGTCCTAAATCAAATGACTGGTGTCCTTTTTTTGGGGGGGTGGGGGTACACCAGGGACTGAACTCAGAGGCACTTGACCATTTTATTTAGAGACAGGGTCTCACTGAGTTGCTTAGCGCCTTGCTTTTGCTGACTTGCCTCAGTCTCCTGAGCTGCTGGGGTTACAGGTGTGTGCCATTGTGCTTGCCCATGCTCATCAAATTTTAAATGGGTGCATTTCAGTGTGCATAAATTATAATCCTTAAGGTTTATTGCTGAAAAGCAAAGGTTACTTCATAAACACATGATCTCTGAAAGTAAAGAAGATAGTTGTGAGATTATCTGTGGGCCAGGTGGTAAATTTGCCTGCCTTTAGCCTCTCCCTGGAGAAACATGGTGGTTTCATTCCTAGTTTAAGAATTAGACTATAGTTGCACAGTCCTTGCCTGGTCCTTGTGTTCTGTAAGAAGGTTAAGTAAATGACAGTAAGAAAAGAGATAGATAATTCACTTTTATGGTCTTTTTTTTTTTTTTTTTTTTTACAAAGTTCAAAGTCACAGTTGGAACATTAAAATTTTTTTTTAAATGAAAAAAAAAAAAAAGCAATGACTCTGTTCATATCAGTTCCACCTGGTTTCTCCAAATAGATCAACAGTGCTCAGGGCAATTGTCTTACTTTCTGAGGAGCAGCATGGAAATAATTTGCAATGCTTCACTGAGGAAGAGCATTTAGGTGCTGTCCGATGAGGTGGCCTTCCTGTTCTTGGATACTTGTAAACTCCTCCAGCAGACCTTTCCTACAAATTCAGTAGCTCCACCCTGGGATCCTCACCCTGAACTGTTTGTATTTCCCCAAACACACCAAAGGATGTGATTCAGAAGCTCTGGAATCTGAATTTTTACTAAGCTTCCTGGTTCTGAGGTAGGAAATCCAGGGAGGATATCATGAGACAGTGTTCTTGAGAGAATTAAACAAGCACTCCTTATTTTATTCTTGGGATTTAAAATTTTTTTTTTTTTTTTTTTTTTTTTGCCAGAACCCTGTTGTGTTTCCATTAATCCTGTCTGGAACTCAATGAACCCCTTCAATCTGCTGGCCCAAGTCTTTCTTCAGACAGGGAGGGTTTTTCCTCTACAATTTATTAAATTATTAACTCCCTTTCCTCTGTCCCCTCTTTTCCTTCTAGATTTCCTCTTCTCCATCTGCTTTCCAGTTTTTGTTTTATCCAACTGTTTCTCTTTCCATTTTGTGTGACAACTTACTTTGTCAAGACTTCTCATTCTTCATTTTTAAAATTTTATATTTGTTCTTTTTAGATATACATGACAGTAGAGTGTATTCTGACATATTATACAATAATGGAGTACAACTTATTCTCAGTAGGATCCCATTCTTGTGGAGTTACACTGATCACGTATTCATATATGAACACAGGAAAGTCATGTCCAATTCATTCTGCTGTCTTTCCCATTTCATCCTCTCTTCCTTGTCTTCATCCCCTTTTGTCTGATCCCATAAAATTCTATTTTTACAACCACTGACCTTTACAAATTGTCTATTTAATAATTAATTTTTTTTGTTTTTAAGTGAAAATTAATATTACTTCCTTTTTTTCCTGTACTTTTCTTGTTTCGGTTCCACAAAGTCTTTTGTATGGCCTAATTAGATCTCTGGACTCTGAAAGAGACTCTCCTCCTGTTAGGCTCAAGTTCTGAGCTGATAAGTCTCTTCTACCTCCTTCAGCTGGGACCATCAGTCATAGTTACGGACTTTCCTCCCCTGCAGGTTGCTATGTGCTCTGATCTCCCTCTGCCTTCCTGGAGTCTCTCTGGCTCAGAAATCAGGCCAGCCTCTTCGAGGCTCTCAAGCAGTGTGAACTGTGTCATTCCTCTGCCTCTCTGAAATTCTGTTTACAACTATGATGTGGATCAAGGACACAATTAGATACAATGTTGAGTTGAGGAGCATCAAGAGAAAGAATCAGAGGTTAAGGCTCTTGTTTCATTGGGGAATATCATCTTTTAGATATTGGACTTTCTAGAATATATATATATATATATATATATATATATATATATTATGGAGGCCAGTACCAGCAACTTTGCAAGAACCTCAGCAACTTAATATGATCTTTCCTCAAAAAAAAAAACGGACTGGGGATGGGACTCAGTAGTAAAGTGCCCCTGTGTTCGATCCCCAGTACCAAATAATTAATAAAAATTATATACTACTGTATTTTTCTACATGATATGAAGATATGCGTATGTGTGTATTGCATTTTATTAAGTGTATCTACAGTTTCACTCTCCATGGTTTCAGTTATCCACAGTCAACTGTGGTCAAAAATATTAAATGAAAAATTCCAGAAGTAAATAGTTTACAAATTTTAAAGAGCTTTTATTGCAGTATGTTGTTCATAATTATTTTATTATTTATGATTATTTTTAATCCCTGACTATATGCCTAATTTATAAATTAAAATCTGTCATGGGAGTGTACAGGAAAAGCAGTGTGCATCGTTCAGTTCTATCTACTGCTGCATTTTCAATCATCCACTGGGGGCCTACTATACACAAAAATCCCCATCTACACACATACGCGCGCGCGCGCACACACACACACACATACACTCTTAGGTATTGTTTCAGTCACTTTTTCTACTGCTGTGACCAAAAGACCTGACAAGAGCAATTTTAGGAGGAAAAGTTTATTTGGGGGCTATTTTGGAGGTCTGAGTCCATAGAAGGCTGGCTCCATTTCTCAAGGCTCAAGGTGAGGCCAAACATCATGGCAGAAATTGTGTGGCAGAAGAAAGCAGCTGGGAACATGGAAACAGGAAGCAGAGAGAAAGCTCTGCTCAAGAAGGACAAGATATATACCCCAAAGGTATGCCCCCCCCAGGAACCCACCCCTCCAGTCACACCCTACCTGCCTACAGTTACCACCAAGTTAACCATTATCAGGGGATTAATGCACTGATTAGATTTATTATTTTGTCTCTAAATTTTCTTGCATTGTTTCATACATGAGCTTTTGGGAGGCACCTCACATCTAAACCATAGCAGATACACACACACACACACACACACAATATGTTCCTTCTTTTTATTAATTCTATGTTGGGCCTAGGACTTTCCTTCTTGGGAAAAGTGCTCTTCCTTAAAAGTTCTCATGGAGGTGTTCAAGAAGGAAGGCGTGAAGGATGAGTGACACATAGACCTTACCTGATCTAGGCAGAAGGGGACCATGTTCACCCCTGGTCTGGATCAGCTCAGTGGATGGGGTGCCACCCCCCCCCAGGGGGGTCGGTTTTACAGTCAATGCCCTGACCAAAAATACTACAGGCATTGTTTGCACACCATCTCGCACATACCCTTTAAGAACTTTCAGCTGCAGTTCAGCAACAGTCAGACAGGCTGGCCTATCTATCTTTTGTGCCTCCTGAGCAACTCTGGCCAGTCCACTGATGTATTTCTCTTCCTTTTCGAAAGAGCTCCTCTTCTCCAAAGTTATAACTAATCAAACAATTCAAAGCAGCTCTTTGGGAAGGGAAGTCTTCAAGAATGGGTACTGATTCTGTAGCTCAGAGGGGTTCTCATTGCTGAGGAAAACAGTAGAGTGAATGAACGGGGAAAAATAAAAACGAAACAACAATCTCATATCTGTGACATCCCTCTCTCTAAGAATGGTAGAGGGGGCTAGGGTTGTAGCTCGGTGGTAGAGCATTTGCCTGGCATATGTGAGGCAGTGGGTTGGATTCTCTGCACCACATAAAAATAAAATAAAGCTATTGTGTTCACCTACAACTGAAAAAAAAAAAAAAGAACGGTAGAGGGAGTCCAATTTAAATCCAGGTAAGAATCAGACTCATTTCCTAGGTGAACAAAATCTTGGAGAAGCTCTTAATGAAGGACTGCAGTTGCTGATTGTTGACCTGATTTTTTTGCATGAACCACAGTTCTGTTTCCAAAACCTGACCAATCTGATCTTTGCATATACCTGAATCAGCAAGTTTACAAGGAAAACATCAGGGTCCTCTTTGGAGATATATTAAGGTTTGAGGTAATAATAAGATTTTTACTTTTTAATTAAAAGAGAATGCTGGCCCGGTCCCTGATTGATCACCAGCTTGGAAGAGAGGACTTTTGCACCAAGGCCTGCTGACTGGAAACATACTAAAAAGATGTCCCCTCTGTAGCCACTTTTCTTTGATTCAGTAGTGGCTTGATTTACCTGGACTTCTAGGCTACTGGGAGCCAGCAGGTGGTGGAAAGATGAATAAAAGCTGTGCTGAATCTGGGGAACCAGCTAGAGCCACAGATTCACCAAAGAGCAAAGGGGAAGATGGTCTAATGTGAGTTGGAATAAGTCTGTGTTTTCTGTGAGCTGCACACTCGCCACGTGAGGTAAGCCATCCTATTTCACACCTGAGAAAACCAAGGTTTAGGGATGCTCATGAGACATCTTGGAAGTAGACCTGGGGGTAGAATCCAAGTCTCTTGGTTCCTAATTTCTACCTCTTGGAGATCTGGCAAGTTGCTTTTAGGGTGATTTGGGATCCCTTCCTAATTTGTCCCTCTGTCTTTTGACTATAGAGGATTATTAATCGATAGTACTGATATGGGATGCTATAAATTTTGTTTCCTAAGGACACTGAGAATAGAATCCTTTTGTCTGTAACCACAAAGGCACAATGGCCTGATACCGGTGTGGCCCAAGTTTGGGGTCTCTTCTGGCTGTCCTCTCTACTTTCCCCATGTCTGACGTGTGTGGATTCTAGGCTATGGCATATGTGGAAGGCACACAGTTATTCCAAAGATGCTCTTTGGACTGTTAATGCACATTGCTCTGGAGATTAACGCTTTTCCAAATTTAAGTATCCCTGGCATCAGTTTCTGCAGTTCACCTTCTCCAGGCAGATGTTGGCTGATTTTATAATTTTGTCCATGGCTGAACTCTAGCAGTGGGTTTTGTACAGATGGAAAAGTAGACTCAGACTGATTTCTCTTCTGACCTTTTCAAACTCAAATGATGGATTCCATAAAATGTCACCAGTGCTTCTGAATCTCTTCGGTCTCCTCAGAAGTGTGACCACCAAGGAAAAGCTTTTATTTCTCCAGCTGCAGGTATCAACTGCAAGGGGTCAGGCAGCCCTGACTTGCATATCACTGAAAGACTAAAGAGGGGAGGGTGACTCCTAGCGGGAGGAGAACGTGAGTTAGCGGAATCCTCCCAGTTAGAGGCTGCCTGGAGGTGCTCAGTGTATCAACCTAACTTCACCTGACAGAGTGCGAAAGAGGCTCAGCCTTATCCCCACCTTGAACCACATTGAACTTGGTGGTGGCGCTTAATTAAACCCAAGTCATCTTACCAAAGCAGAAAGAAATTTTCAGGGATCAAATTTAAAGGATTTTGGGGCGGGTCAGACCTTGCCTGCAGCTATGGAGAGTTTCAGGTAGTGTATGAACTTTCTAGAACTTCAGTTCTACCAACAGGAAAAACTAGTCATCATATTTTCAGAAGGAGGGTTTAAGTGGTGTGGCATGCTTAGAGACACTTGGAGGTAACTGCATTGGTTCTGTTCCATTTTACCTGTACACCCAGCTTATGCCTCAGGAGGGACTGTGGTGATGAGTGGTCACTCAGGATCTAAGGTCCATGGTGTATGAATGGACAGATGTCTAAGTTCTAGAGTCATTTTCATAATGATCCTGGGTAATTCATTTCAATTTCTTGGTTCTCCATTTTCTATCCTGTAAAAAAGAAATGGCACCTTAATCTCTAATATCCTCAGTCTCTGCTTTTTCCCAAAGGATGAAACTTGCTACCTAACTTTGAGATCTGACCTTTAGCTTTGTAGTTCAGCATGTAGCTTCTTGGGTAGCTTGTATTAAAATTGCCAATCTTCAAGGGATGAAAACAGCTCTGAAAAAATAATCCTATCAATTTCTTCCTTGAATTATATTTGATCAAATGCCAAGGCTGAGATGCCACTAAAAAAGAAAAAAAAAGCAGAAAAAAAAATTAGAGAGAATTCTCTGAACTTTCCCCCTTTGCCCTGTGCTTATTTTCATGTTCTAGTTTGTTTCAATGTACAACCAAGTTGTTAATGTTTTCTGTTTAATAAACAGAACATCTGTAAATTCTGCTCCTTATGTTCTGGATCAGCTTGGCTCTTAGCTAATAGAGGACTAGGTTGAGCCACAAGACTCAAGGTCACTTCCACGCATGGTTCTTTCATTGTGTTCTCCATATTAATGCCTGCCCCCCACCCCCTCTCTGAAACACCCTGCTTTAAATATATCATTGCTTTTTCCCTTAGGACCAGGACAAATAATGCAGCCCACACCATATACAGTCCTACGCTGGATTAGCACAATGACTCATATTTGGTGAGCTGTGTTCCTGGGGCTCAAAGAGTGACATTCATTTATACCTTCAGAAATAATCCTCAGAGCCCTGATGAATTAGTCACCAGGCACTGCTGGCTGCTAAATGGCCTACTTTGGCATCTAGACCTGAGAACCACAGGAGTCTTCATGTAACCTGTCCTTTGTTCTGAGCCTCAGTATAGCCTGGGCTGTGCTAAGAATGTGCTGGTTCTGAATTATACCTGAGAGGGACATCTTGAGAGGCCCAAGAGCACTGGTGTCCTATCAGTGGGACTCTTGCTGCTCCCACACAGGACAGTTTGCATGGTTATCTTTGTTTAGTGACCTTTTGTTTAGTTAATAACGGTGTCCAACAAAATCAACACTTGGCGGGACTGGGGTTGTGGCTTAGAGAAAGAGAGCTTGCCTAGCATGGGCGTGAGGCACTGGGTTCGATCCTCAGCAGTACATAAAAATAAAATAAAGGCATTGTATCCACCTACAACTAAAAAAATAAATGTTAAAAAAATCATTTAAAAAAAATCAACACTTGGAGAAGGACGCCTGAGATCCCATCAGATCTGACAGCTTCTCCTGTTCCCATAGTTGGATTTTCTACCCCCAGCTCCTCCCACCCCTTCCCCATCCTCACTCTGAAGTGTCACTTTTTTATTCACTGTATGTTTTTCTTTTTCTTTTTGGGGTACCAGGGATTGAACTCAGGGGCACTTGACCACTGAGCCACATCCCCAGCCCTATTTTGTCTTTTATTTAGAGACAGGGTCTCACGGAGTTGCTTAGCACCTCGCTTTTGCTGAGGCTGGCTTTGAACTCGTGATTCTCCTGCCTCAGCCTCCCAAGCTGCTGGGATTACAGGCATGCACCACCACGCCCAGCTACTGTTTGTTTTTCTTTAGAACTGGTTTTGTTAGAGCATTCATTTTTATGTGTTTCTGTCATTTTGACCTGTTTTAATTTCAGCCTATTGGTTAAAAACCTCAAGGAATTCATAATTACAGTTGAATAATTTTCTACAAGTCTTCATTCAGGTGATTTTCCAGCTTCCACACTGGCCCCAAAGGAGGAATATATTGATACCAACACTCTTGCTTCCTTTTCTTCTGTTTAAGCAGGTGCATTTGGGGGGGCTATTTTCCTTAAACACAAAAATATGGAAGAAAAATTAAATGATCCACAAGGAAGTTATCTGCTGATGACTTTAGGTTGAACATGTAACTGGACATGAAAGAGTTAAGCTGCAAATGAATATAAACACAACAAAATCCATAGCTCACCAGTTGCTGTGGAGGAGGGATTTAGGCAAAAGGGGAATAATGATGTGGCAATGTAAGAAGTAAACACTGGCTAAAGGTCTTGGAGAGCAGATCTGGAACCTAAATTAACTCTTCCTAACCTTGTTTCCTCCCCTTGGCCCATGAGTTTATGTTGAATTGCAAACAGCCCATGAAATCCTTTGGAGACTTTGATCTTTGATAAGCAATCTAAAGATTGAAAGATTATATTTTCTCTCTAATTAAATCTTCCTCTAACCTTGAACTGGGTGCCTGCAAGGTGAGTAGGCGAGACCCAGCTAGCTGTGCCAGGAAGGCTGAGAGAGGACTGGTCCTTCTAAGGAGAGGTCTCCATGATTGTGATTTGCTGCTAGAGTGGCTGAAGCAAAGGTTCTGCATTCACATGGGAAAGCAGAGAGAGGGTGAAACATGCTGATGTCAATGCGCAGGGCCCTAAAAATGATCACCCTCTATCAATTTAGTAGGTACATTTGCATTTAAAAGGACAGTCTTTTGCCAGGACCCAGGTACTCTATCAATATTGTAGAAGAGGCAATTGCAGGCACAAAAACAAAACAATTACAAAATGATACTGTGATTACAGCTCTCTGTAACGGTGGGTTCTAAGCATTTGCAGGAGCTATTTTCCCTTGAGGAGAAAGCAGTCATCCTTCCAAGCTGTCCTCTGTGTCCTTTCCTGTTTGTTGTCTTCCCTTTGGCGTCATTAGCGACTTTAAAGATGTAGAGGTCATCCAGTTCATTTTGAGGAACTGGAAGTCTCAAGGGCTAAGGCACTCCCTCAAGGTCACACAGTCAACTAGTAGCAGAGAGACACACTGCTCTCGGGCCAGGTGGGATGTTTGAGTCCTGACCAGCAATCCTACTGCCTTTGCTTTGCTCTCCTTGTCTTCTTGGTGCAGCTCGTATGCTGTGAAGTGAACAGGAGGAAGAACTATTCTGGTACAGGAAATATTTCTTCCCTTGGCAGGGAGAGCGATGAGCCCTGAGGAGGGGATGCTGTGAGCCCTCCCATAGAGAGGTGATAGGAGGGCTACCCTAGATCCCATTGTATTCGTTTTTCTGGGGCTGCTGTACAAATACCACAGACTGGGTGGTGGAACATCAGGAATGTGTTCTTTCATAGTCAGGAGGTAGAAGTCTGAGGTCGAGGTATCTGAAGGCTCTAAGAAAGAATCCTTCCCTTTCTCCTCCTAGCCTCTGGTGTTGACAGCCCTCCTTCCTGTTCCTTGGTTTGTAGCTCCCTGACTTCCATCTCTGCTTCCCTAATCACAAGCTGTTCCCATGTGTGTCTGCCTGCTTTCCAACCTCATATAAAGACACGTAATTCAGAATGATCTTATCCCAATTCTTATCTTGATTATACCTGCCAAGACCCTGTTCCAAATGAGGTCACTTTGTAAGGTTTTGGGTAGACATGAACTTTGGAAGCTACTATTTTACCTGATACATCAATTATCCCGAACACTCATTGCTCAAATGCTGCACAGGCTGATGATCTACTCAGCATGGCTGGCCTGTGGGAGAACCTGCTGACCACACATCACCTTCACTGCCACAGAACATGGATAGAGGGAGCCCCTGCTGTAAGATACAGTGGAGGGCTGGGGTTGGGCTCAGTGGCAGAGTGCCTGCCTCGCACATACGAGTCACTGGGTTCGATCCTCAGCACCATATAAAAATAAATAAATTATATATATATATATAATATATGTCATTAAATAT